TTGGAGGTTTTAGAACAGGAAAAAGTATATGAGATTGACTCACTTATCGTTTCCATAAAGCCATTTTGGATTTGTCTAATTATTAGACAAATCAAAATGGAGAATTAATGAACTGGAGGAAACAGTAAAATAACATCATTTCCAAAATGCTGTTTTGGGGGTGCAAGGTAGTCCTCCATTTATGACTACAATTGGGCCCAAAATTTGTCACTGAAGTGGTGGTTAAGTGACACATTAAGTTAAGTACTTAATGATAGCAATCCTGGCTCTTCCAGTTTCAGTTGTTAAGTCAGATCATTAAGCAGAGCCCTGGTGAGATGGCCTGGGTCTGGGTATTGTTGAAGGACTAGGCCCTCTTCCCACTCCACTGGGAAAATGATAATAAGAACGCTAGTATTTTCATCAGATTTGAGGTTCATTCTTCCAGTGCACCAAGGGAAATGCCTCAGTGTGCTGGAGAAATGGACCTCAAATATAGCAAAAAGGCTAGCAAACGCCATCATTCTGAGCCTTTCAGAACACTAGCATTTGTTCACTTTTTCTTCTCCCCCCTGGAATCTTTCTGAGCCTCCTGGAAGGGAGGGAAAAACACTAGCAAATGGCAGCATTCTGAAAGGCTCAAGATATGGTGCTTGGTAGCGTGTTTGCTGGATTTGAGTTCTGTTCCCTCAGCGTGCAAGAGGATTTCCCCTCCCTGCACAAAGTGGATAGGCAAACCCTCAGTGCACTAGAGGAACAGACTTCAAATTCGGTGTCCCCTTTCCTTGCAACTTTCTCTGCAGGCTTCCCCATTGCCTTTCTGCGGAAGCTGGCAGAGAAGATTGCAAATGGTGATCACATGATTGCACGAAACCTGGCAATTGGTTGTAAATACAAACAGGTTGCCATGCAGCCAAAATTCAGTCATGTGAATTTGGGGGACACAATGTTTTATGATGACTGGAAGTGCTTTGTGTTATGTATGTATCTATTTTGTGCGGGAAATTCAAATGCCCTGTGAATTGTGATTGGTTAACGGTTGCCCCTGAAAAATATATAAAAAGGGCTGTTGCCTGTGTTCCTTTGCTGAAGTCTCACCCTGAATTAAAGAGCTGTTGTCACTAGCCTGCTTGTGCCTCTCGTTATTCCCGTGCTACAACATTGGCGACGAAGGTGGGATTGAGGCCACAAGAGGCAAATCAAAAAGAGCTCTGAGTTTCAGCCAGGGTGACGAGCGAACACGGAGACACGGCAATGTCTGCCTATGTTCCGCCAAAACCCTTCGATCCGACCTGAGAGAAGTGGGGATCGTATCTGACCAGGTTCGAGTGTTCCCTGGAAGCAAGCGAGATGCAAGGGCTCTCCGCGAACTGAAAAAGAGCCCTATTCTAAAGCCACTGCGGGCCAGACATATTTGAGATGGCCAAGTCCCTCTGCGAGCTAACCCCAATCCAGACGGTTTCCTGGGATGTCCTTCAAGCAAACCTGAGAGCCCACTACGCTCCAGTTCCTTCGAAATTTGTACAGCGCTACGAGCTCCAGCAACGTGTACAAAGGGAAGGAGGACTGGTCAGCGCATATGTGGCTGCCCTTCAAAAAGCCGCAACGCATTGTGACTACAGAGATCTAGACGACGCGCTACTCGAGCAATTGATTTGTGGTGTTAAAGACACTCGTTTACAGAGGCGCCTTCTGGCGAAGCCAGATTTAACGTTAGCCGGCGCGCTCGACGAAGCCAGAGCACACGAAGCGTCCACGAAGGCTTCTGAAGCGTTACAACGGCCACTGCCAAGCAAAGACGGCCCTAAAACAGCCCCCGTCCACAGAGAGGAGGCGCGAACCAGCACGGAGGAAGAGTCAGACGAAGACGACTTCCACACGGAAAAGAAAAAAAGCGAGCAAAGCCGCCACCACGAGAACTGTCCTAGCTGTGGCGGGGATCACGAGAGACAATCCTGTAAATACCGAGATGCCATTTGCAGGCATTGTGAAAAGAAAGGCCACCTAGCACGAGTTTGTAGAGCTCAATTTCCGCGTAGTCGCAAGCCACGTGACTACCGCGACCAACCGGAACCGGCTCGTTCAAAACAGCCAATCAGAGATGACAGTGCGAGAAAACGGCGCGAGATTCAAAAGTGGGAGACCTACAGCATGAGAATCGGCCAAGCTAGCACGACCGACGATGAGAAAATCTACACGAAAGTAGAAATCGAAGGCAGACCATGCGAAATGGAAATTGACACCGGGTCTACCCTGTCTATCATGTCCTGGACTACTCTCAAAGCGCTCCTGCCTAAGATCCAGAAAACCCAGCTGTTACAACAAAAAGTTCGCCTCCTCGACTACCAAGGAAACCGAGTTCCTGTGGAAGGCGTGGGCACGTTCTGGGTCACCTACGGCGAGTTCCAGAAAGAACTGCCCCTGACATCATCAGCAAGCCGCTACCAAGTCTCCTGGGCATGGCGTGGTTCCGAGCCCTCGGCATGGGCTTCACGGGCATCTACAGCATTGGCGGGCCATCACTCAAAGAAAACCTCCTTCACGAGTTTCGGGACATTTTTGAGGAGATTCTAGGCAAGTACGTGGGTACCCCTATCTCCTTTAATTTAGACCCCAACGTGACCCAAATCAGACTAAAAGCGAGACGGGTTCCATTCGCTTTAAAGCCCAAAATTGACGCAGAGCTCGACAAGCTAATCAGACAAGGGGTATTTGTTCCCATAGATCACGCCAAGTGGGAAACCCCAATAGTCACGCCAGTTAAATCGGACAGATCAATCAGAATCTGCGCTGACTATAAATGTACGATCATTAAGGCGTTGCAGCAGAGCGCCTATCCCGTTCCGATCGTCCACCATCTACTACACTCCCTGGGGCCTGGCAAGCTATTTGCAGAATTAGACCTTGCGCAGGCATACCAGCAGCTGCCAGTAGATGACGCTACGGCAGAATCGCAGACCATAGTAACTCACACAGGTGCCTTTAAATGCACCAGACTACAGTTCGGGGTTAGCATCGCCCCAAGGCTCTTTCAGAGTACCATGGAGCGCCTTCTACAAGGCCTCCCTGGAGTCGTCCCGTATTTCAACGACGTCTTAATTAGTGGCCAGGACGAAACACAGCTTGGGAATAGGGTTAGACAAGTCCTAACCAGATTCAGAGAAGCGGGACTGAAACTTAAGAAGTCCAAATGCAAAATAGCGGTCCCCTCCGTGGAATTTTTGGGTTACAGAATCAACGGCACAGGCATTCACCCCATGAAAAGCAAAGTCAGGGCCATTCAGAATGCGCCCACCCCCAAATCGAAGCCCGAATTGCAGGCTTTCTTGGGCCTACTTAACTTCTATACGATATTTCTAAAAGACAAGGCCACCATTGCGGAGCCACTGCACAGGCTCCTTGGAAAAAACGTGCCCTGGGTGTGGGGCAAATCAGAAGCGGCTGCATTTAGAGCAGTTAAAAAACTTCTGTCCGAAGACAGTTTCCTCATCCAATACAACTCAGAACTACCTCTAGTACTTGTTTGTGACGCTTCCCCCTTTGGCGTGGGCGCTGTGTTGAGCCATAGACTGCCGAATGGGTTAGAGGCGCCCATTGCCTATTACTCTCGCACTTTATCTAGTGCTGAAAGAAATTATAGCCAGCTGGACAGGGAGGCTTTAGTGGCTGTAGCTGGGGTCAAAAAATTTCATGAGTATTTGTTTGGCCGGACCTTTGAACTTGTTATGGACCATCAGCCTCTTTTGGGACTTTTGGCTGGCGACAAACCAACCCCGGCTGCCCTCTCCCCCCGGATGACCAGATGGTCCATCTTCCTGGCTGTCTACTCCTACAGATGTTTTTCAACGTTCATCTTTGTTATTTTCAAATTGATGGGATACTCATAGTAACTGAGAAAAGTGTGTATTGTAGCGGATAAGCTTCCAAGTCAGGTCTTCTGAAAGGTTCAAAATCCAGGTCTTCTGAAAACTCCTCTAACAGTGAATAAGAGTTGGAATAGCACCAAATGCATTGACCTACATTAGAAATGCTTCTCAGGCCTGTTGAAGGTTACTTCCCTCTCCAACTCTCACCCTAGAAGGGTTCTGAGCCACCAGGTGGCAGTAGAGGAACAAGATTGACTAAACTACTGCACTTTTGGATTTAAGATACCATAGTTGTGATTAAGATTAACTGAAGCCCCAATAGAGTTAGCTTCTAAAGAACATTTACAGGATCCCAGGGGCATTGATGAAATGGTTTAATTCCATGCAAGTAATATGTCCAATCTCTAGTAATTTCATAGGAAGTAATTTTTTTTATTTATTTGTGCTTGTACTCTGCATAAAAGTTGCTAGAGCAAATCTGATATCATGGAGGAAGTCCTAAAATGAATCAAGTGTATTTATAAATTGCAACTTAGAGCCTTATTATGCTCCAATGGTTTTTTAAAATTAGCTTCACTTTTTAACTGAAATAACTGTGGATAAACTGCAATTTAAAGAAAAGACAATATCATTGTGTTTTTCTGTTCTTTATTCTTAATGCAAATGTACTTTTTCAATATAATTAGGGGAAATTTTCTCTAATGCAGTGTCACCTTTGATTCCTATGCTAGATGGCCCTACTATATAGCAACAGCAGAAAAGTTTTTTTTTTTTTTAAACTTGGGCTTCCCAGAAAGACAGATCTGAAAAATCTAGTCTAGTTGCAGATCCTAAATATGTTTAGCACTGCTTTCTGCCATATCCATGGCTGAAATTAAAGTATTACCTGTTTTTTCCCTCTTCATTATGTTCAGTAATAATACCATAAAAAATCCCATACCATAATTCTGGAACAAGATAAAGTCTCCTTCAAGCCTTTGTGCTTTTGTTACTTCTGGGATTTTTTAATGATTATTTGAGATATCTTAGTAAGGAGGTTCTGCAAATAAATACATAGATTTTTCATATTTTTGCCATGAGTTAACATGGCAGAACATTGTAAGAATAGTAAAAATACTGACATTATGGAAGTCCTTAAGAATAAGACACGCAAGCTTGATGTTCACATTTTTATTTTTGATCAAAATACTATTTCTTCTTGCATAGTAAGGAGAGTTTTGGTGTAGCATATTTGTGAATGTTGCTTTGGTGAGATTAAAGCCAGTTCATTTACATTTTGGATCTTTGATACTATGGCATGTTTATAATAAATAAACCATACTTCATACCTTTTCAGATAATACTTCCAGTGAATATTTACTTGGGAAAATGCATGGGTCAAATTCAGAGGTGGGTTTCAGCAGGTTCTGACCAGTTCTGGAGAACCGGTAGTCGAAATTTAGAGTAGTTTGGAGAACCGGTAGTAAAAATTCTGACTGGCCCCGCCCCCATCTATTCTCTGCTTCCCAAGTCCCAGCTGATTGGGAGGAAATGGGGATTTTGCAGTAACCTTCCCCTGGAGTGGGGTGGGAATGGAGATTTTACAGTATCCTTCCCCTGCCACGCCCACCAAGACACACCCACCAAGACATACCCACAGAACTGGTAGTAAAAAAATTTGAAACCTACCACTGGTCAAATTAAGTATTAAATTAGAAATGGCAGTTTTTTCTCTCCAAAGCATATTGAGAGCATGACAATTTCATACTTCAGAGCCAAAAGTTCCTGGACCTATGCTATGTTGTGGAAAATGGGAACAAATACTTTTTTATTGAACATTATGTTCCATATGCCATACTACCCTTTCATGGAAGATTTAAACAGGCTTTAACAAACAACTTGCATAGAACCTTTTATGGCAGCAAGAGATAACATAGAGAAATACAGTGTTTGCATTCAATGTGAGTACAGGTAGTCCTTGACTTATGACCACAGTTGAGCCCCAAATGTTGCTAAGTGAGACAGTTGTTAAGTGAATTTTGCTCCATTTTACGACCTTTCTTGCCACAGTTGTTAAGTGAATCACTGCAGTTAAGTTAGTAACACGGTTGTTAAGGGAATCGGACTTCCCAATGACTTTGTCAGAAGGTCACAAAAGGTGATCACATGATCCCAGGACACTCTAATTGTCATAAATATAAATCAGTTGCGAAGTGTCTGAATTTTGATCACGTGACCTTGGGGATGCTGCAATGGTCATAAGTGTGAAAAACAGTCATAAGTCACTTTTTCAGTATCGTTGTAACTTTGAATCGTCACTAAATGAACTTTTGTAAGTTGAGGACTACCTGTACTGTGTGTGTGTTTGGGGGAGGGGTTTAATCAGTGGTGAAATGTAAAATTTGTTACTACCGGTTCTGTGGGTGTGGCTCAGTGGTGGTCGGCTGAAAAGGTTGTAAAAAAATGCTTTTAAAGCCTCTGATGATCCCAGCTGACTTGCCTGATCGGCAGAGGTTTATTTTCATTTTAAAAACATTTTTTCTACAACCTCTTCGGCTGAAGAGGTTGTAGAAAAAAACCTTTTAAAAGCTTCTGATGATCCCAGCTGAGCTGCACGATCATCAGAGGCTTTTTTTTTTACTTTTAAAAGCATTTTTTCGACCAAAGAGGTTGTAGAAAAAATGCTTTTAAAAATAATAAAGAAGCCTCTGATGATTGCGCGGCTCAACTGGACATTGGGGGGGAGGGGCAGGGATTTTTGCTACCAGTTCTCTGAACCACCGCCTCTATCGCTACTGGATCGAGCGATCCAGTCCAAACCGGGAGCATTTCACCCACTCTCCACTCTCGTCCATAGCGATTGAAGGTTGGCTGTGCAAAAAAACTCTCATCCCTCCCCAATTCAAATCTTTAAGATACCACTGAAACTTTTCTGAATGCCTTCTGCCTAGCACTGGGCCTTAAATCTATGCTGAATGATGTAGGATTTTTTTATTTGGTTGGCTTTTTATTTTAGGTATTTGTAAACTATTTTTCCAATGCTCAAAAAAAAAAAGGGCCATTCTGTCATTAAAATGTAGTTATTATAGATACAGAAACAGATAATAAATGACTATTTGTATTTCTGCAACAGTGTGATCCATAGATCACCACCATTCTTGGTTCATTCTGATGCCAGTTGCTAAATCAAGTGATACTACACCATTGGGAGCCTGAACTGAACCTGGAAATGAGTGACTTTATCATAAATATCTCATAGTATTCATATGAATATCATACAGCTCTATGGATAGAAAATGGAAAATAAACTTTAAAATCAATATCAGAAATTGTTCTTGAAATATAAAATGCTCTTGCTGTACAGTAAAGGACTTTACCGTATTTAAGTGCATCAAGTCTTCATATTTTGTTCAAATGTTTCTGGCAGTCACTTTCTGTAATGCCAATTCATTCCAAAAGCTTTGATAGTTCCTCCATCTCTATATTTCAGAGTCTTCAATGGAGCTACTCAAGAATATCTTAGGGGAAGCAAATGGCAAGTCCTCACAGGGAGCCATTGAATTCTGAACTGGATATTCTTTACTATCCTGCTTAACATTTGCTGCCTTGTAGAAGCCAGCTTTTGTTGCTCGAGTCTGAAGTGTTCCCATCTCAAAATCCCAAGTTTGGCCTCTTCTTATTCTCTTCAAAGTATTTTTGAAGCCTTCTGTATTGAAATAGTAGATCAAGGGGTCCAGGGTACAGTTCATACTTGTAAGTAGCATAGTGATGATAAGGGCATTGCGCACTGAACCCCGCATGGTTGGATCAGTCTTAATCACGCCGGCTTTTATCATCCCATAGGCTGCCAGGATGGTGTTGTAGGGTACAAAGCAGATGATAAAGATGACCAGATTGACTACAAGCATGCGAATGGTCTTTTCTTGACGCAGGCTCCGCGTCCCACGAGCTCGGCATAGTTTCTGAAAAATTTGGATTGAGCAGACTGTCACAGAGGTCAGAGGGAGGAGAAAGCCAAGAATCTCTGCTAAAATGACCAGACCGAAGATTTTTCCCTGCCACAAGTTATTACTGAAGTTTTCAAAGCACACAGTGATTTCATTTTGTTTAAGGTTAGAATTTGTTTCATTTCCCTTAATACATGGAGTTGTCTTGTGGATTAGAGCAACTGGAACAGACCCTATCAGGATTAGTACCCAAACCACACAGCAGAGCATCCTGGCCACTTTGGGACGCCGGAGGTGGCGCCAGCGTAGTGGGTGGACAATAGCAACAAAGCGATCCAAGTTGATGCACATCAGGAAAAGGCAACTACCGTACATATTTATTTGGAAGAGAGAACCCGAGACTTGACAAAGGAAACTTCCAAAGGGCCATTCTCCCATGTAATAGTAATATATACGGAAGGGCAAAGACATGGTGAAAAGGAGGTCACTCATAACCAAGTTACACATGTAGATGGCCACCACTGACTTGAGCTTCAGATAGTACAAGAAGATCAAGAGGGACGCAACATTGAGACATAAGCCTGCTGTGAAGATCAAGATGTATCCAATCAACTGCAGCTTGTGAATGTCACTATTATTCGGGCATATAGTAACATTGGCAGCTGACATGCCTGGAAATAACCTGAAGGTAAGACTTTGATAGGTCTGTTTAAGATTCTGGAAGAAGCAGAGATTACAAGAGACCAAAAAAGAGCCTAGACTTCAAGTTGGTGCTCATAATTCTATTCCTTAATTCAGATGGTGGTCCTAACTCTTTGACTTGGACTTCCAGGCTTCACAATCCATTCTCAGTCATAGAATGATGACTCTAGAGGAAAATGAGAAAAAGTGCTTTATTATAGCATTCCAAAAAAGAAAAAGCATTAAAGTCTCCAAAAATGAAATGGCCCCTAAATTAGAGTCAGTTGATGTAGTGGCTAAGACACCAATCTAGAAACTGGAAGACTGGGAGTTCTACTTTTTCTTAGGCACAAAGCCAGTTGGGTGACCTTGGATCAGTTATTCTTTTTCAGGCAGTGGCAAACCACTTTGGAAATCTTGCCAAGAAAACTTCAGGGACTTTAATATCTTAGTTTTCTCTTTATTAATTTTCAATCCTGCCATCTCACCATATTCTTCTATTCTTTCTAATAGCTTTGGTCCTGTTTCTTCTGGATCTTCTAAGATAAACACCAAATCATCTGCAAATGCCTGTAATTTATATTCCTCCTTTTTAATTTCTATACCTTTTATCCCTTTATCCTGTCTTATATTTCTATTTAATACTTCCAGCGTCAGTACAAATAATAGTGGGGATAGAAGACATCCCTACCTTGTATTTTTCATAATATTAACCTTTTCCATCATATCTCCATTTACCATCACCATTGCCGATTGTTTGCAATATAACGTCTTAATCATATTGGTAAATCTCTCCCCAAAGTCCATAACTTTTAGTTTCGCCAACATAAATGGCCAGTTCACATTATCAAACACCTTCTGCGCATCGATGAATATCAATGCCATTTGTTTCTCTGGATTGGCTTCATAATATTCAAATGTATTCAAAATTATTCTCATATTGTATCTGATCTGTCTCTTTGGTAAAAAAACAATTTTGGTCTGTGTGTATAAATTTATTTAAAAATAACTTTAATCTTTCTGCCATTATTGAAATAAATATCTTGTACTCTGCATTATTTTTTTATCCATTGCAAGTCTGAGTCTGAGTCACTAATAAGATATTAGTGAAAAATGTTACAGAGAAGCAGAAAAGGGAGTTAACGAAGAAGTTAGATATTCAGATTACAAAGAAAGTAAAATATTTAGGGATTCAACTAACAGCAAGATGTGTTACGATTAAGGAAGATAATTATTATAAACTAATAAAACAAATTGAGACAGATTTGGAGAGATGGAAAAATTTTCTTTAATAGGAAGAATAGCAGCAATCAGGATGAACATATTGCCAAGGCTATTGTTTTTATTCCAAACAATTCTGATAAAATTGGAGAAAAAATATTTTGAAATTTTGAATAAAATAATAATGAAATTTATATGGCAGGGGAAGAAGGTGAGAATCAACTTATAACTGTTACAAGATGCGAGAACCAGAGGAGGGTTCGGACTACCAAATTGGGAATTATTTTACCAGGCAGCAGTGTTAACATGGATAAAAGAATGGATTGTACTGAGCAGTGGTGAAATCCAAATTTTTTTACTATCGGTTCTATGGGCGTGGCTTGGTGGCTTGGCGTGGCTTGGTGGGCGTGGTAGGGGAAGGATACTGCAAAATCTCCAATTCTACCCAATCCAGGGGAAGGATATTGCAAAATCCTCATTCCCTCCCCATTCCTGGGGGAAGGATGTTGCAAAATCTCCATTCCCACCCCACTCTGGGTCCAGCCAGAGGTGGTATTAGACGGTTCTCCAAACTACTCAAAATTTCCGCTACAGGTTCTCCAAAACCTGTCAGAACCTGCTGGATTTCACCCCTGGTGCTGAGAAATACAAGATTATTGATATTGGAGGGACATGATTTGCAATTGTGTTGGCACGCCTTTTTATGGTATGGAAAAAATAAGATACATGGTTACTTTCAAAGACATTATATAATAAATGCTTTATTATTAGTATGAGAGAAAATTAGAGAACAACATTACTCGAAGATACCAGTTTGGCTTTCGACAATGGAAGCACTAATACATCCAAATATTTTTCAAATAGATCATAACTTTGAATGGTTGCTAAGCAATCAGTCGTAAGTTGAGGATTACCTGTAACAGTCATCTGTTATTAAGAATTTTGATGGTGCCCATGTATAATCACAGGAGGAGATGGTGGACTTTTGTTGTCTCCTTTTATGAGCATAAAGCAATGTGTGCTTGATGAAGTCAGGAAGTATTCTCTACCTTGCCTACTTTAAGCATTTCCCTCCATGCAGAAACGGGCAGGAAGTGGTCTTTTCCCATCTCCTTCTGCAAGAAAACTTGCACCCTTCCAGGTGCTTCAAATGAAATGTCTGCTAGCACAGCTTTTACCAGCTTTCATCAGCCTGCTCCTTGGTTGAAGGAAAAAAGCAGACTTGCAGGAAATCCGGATGGAGCAGTTAGGAGCACAGTCCTTGCTGCTTAGATCATGTACTGTAAAGTAGAAAAATGATAGGCATTGAAGCAGAATCAAGCTTCCCAGTACTGCAGATATTATGTATCAAAGAAGGAGGCGAGTTGGGGGTTTGTATCTTCAGGAGTTGTTAGAATGAGACTGAGGAAGCTCTGATCACTGGGGTTTCCATCAATTAGCAGAGGCCAAAGGGTGAAGTCCTGCTGATTTGTTGTGCTGGCAGAGAACTTCAAAACGCACGCCAAGAACGGTTGATGACTTAATAACCTAATTAGAAGCCTTTGGTCTGTCCCAGTTATTATCTAGTGTCATTTACCCAAGAGAGCATAGGTTAAATCTGAGTTTTTCTATTACATGGCATAATAATGACTTGATATTATTCATTGATTTTTTAAATAGTTCACAATTTGATGGGGTTTAGACTTAGTTTCAGATCATCTGTAGGGGCTAACAAATCTAAAAGCTTTCCTGATCATTACATCTGAAGGTTCTCCTTCTACCTGTTCACTGGATGGAACACAATTCTGCTGAAACTCTCTTCTTCCAGTGAAGATTACTGGTTGCCACAGTGACATGGATCACTGAAACAAGAGAAGATTGGTATTATCTCACTTAGTAACCTCCTACTGAACAGAACCTGGAGATCTTCCACTTTCAGGAAGCTGACACCGATAAAAAGAAAGTAGAAAAATTGGAATGAATCATGAGGTAAAGCCAACTTGAGGCATAATGGTAACAGGTGGGAAGCAGGGGTAAGCAGCACGTCACTTGTCAGTAACCCTAAAAAGCTTTATAAGCAATGCAGTTTAAGATTTCTTAAGCTATATTGTATGTCAGGTGCAGAGGTGGTATTCAGCAGGTTCTGACTAGTTCTAGAGAACCGGTAGTGGACATTTTGAGTAATTTGGAGAACCAGTAAATATCACCTCTGACTGGCCCCACCCCATCTATTCTCTGCCTCCCGAGTCCCAGCTGATCGGGAGGAAATGGGGATTTTGCAGTAACCTTCCCCTGGAGTGGGGAGGGAATGGAGATTTTACAGTATCCTTCCCCTGCCATGCCCACCAAGCCACGCCCACCAAGCCATGCCATGTCACGCCCATCAAGCCACGCCCACAGAACCGGTAGTAAAAAAAAATGAATCCCATCACTGGTCAGGTGTATTTCAAGCAAAAAGGAACTAGTTTGAAAATCTCAGAAGCAAGGTTGGGGCTGGCAATTAACTTGGGGTGAGGCCACCCTTTCATCACCAAGTACTTTAAAGTGGGTCCTTCTTTACGTTTTTGATCCTCTTTATGTATGATATCTTGATGTAAGAAAAATCTGGCTGCCATTTAATGGAATGCCCATCTCTTATTTTGCAGATTTTTGCAAATGCTTATTCTTGTTTCCAGGCTCAGTGATTACCCTTCAATAAGCTCTATCCATGTAAGGTACACGGAGAGAAGCTGGTTTGAACGAATCAGACCTACCTACTGCCCGGGTTAGAGTGATCCTTGAGGAGAAGGTTAAGAGATTGAAGGAAGGGGGCATATCTGCACCATTCTAAAGTGTCCCATTGACATAGGGCTAATCCTAGTCCTTCGGAAGCACTTGACTACAACACCAAATGAATGCTCAGTGGAGCACAAAGGTTTGCATTCAAGGTAACTGCTGCTTAAAGGGGAAAGCACTACTTTAAAAGTGGAATAGCTATGGATTACTTAAGATATGGGTTGGGCATAACATGGCTACATTGTGCAATAACATAGCAAAAAGAGGCCTTTGGGCCAAAATTGTGGAGCTAGGGGCAGGTAAAATCTTTATTTTAAAAAAAGTTTTTTGAATGTCTTTTCCAGAATATAAGACCAAAGGAACAACCAAATAAGACTGACCCTGAAATATCCATTTGCTTGTTAAATAGTATTTTGAGATATTTGAATTTTTTGCCCAATCCCTGATGTTTATTATGAGATACCTACAATGGCATTCTCTCCTTTCATGCTATTATTTGGGCATTAACTGTACATATCTGCAAATTTTAATTGGATGTCAGGAAACCGAATTGCATTGTTACTATTCCATATTATTAAGTGTGAAGCATCCTGTGTAATGGATCAATAAATAAGATTAAATGAATGAGAAGGATTCTCATTCACCAGTGCCCTATTCAATATATCAATCATCTCAGGAATGATCAGCCAAAAACATTTGCATGGGTTGGTCATTTATGTACAGATGTACTATATCCTTGGAAAGGTGGAACTGCACAGAAAAATTTCAGTAGTATGAAAACAATCTTGGACATCAGGAATTTACATTTCATCAAAATAAGCAGAAGAATTAATGGTAAAACAACAATACTGAGAGCAAGCAACTTAGCTCTGTTGCCTAAAAGTATCTAGAACATGGCAGAGGTAACATTTAAAACAGGTCTTAATGAATAATCAGATTGGCACTTTTAACAAATACACTGCTGTTGCTTTATGTGATTTTGTAATAGCCTTTCCCCATGAATGCTTGATAAGAAAAATAATAAGAAAAAAGGGCATTGGGAGTATCTGAAGGATACTGAAGAAGATGCATTGAGGCAAGTATATCAGCAAGGCTTACTGAGTATTGGAGAGACCAAAATGGCCTACCAGAAAGACCAAATGAAGAGAAGAAAAGAGACATGGAAAGACAAAGCCTTATCAACCTAGAAATGAGGAGGAACTTTCTGACAGTGAGAACAATCAACCAATGGAACAACTTTCCTTCGGAAGTTGTGGAAGCTTCATCACTTGAGACTTTCAAGAAAAGATTGGACTGCCATTTGTCAGAAATGGTATAGGGCCATGATGGCGAACCTATGGCATGCGTGCCACAGGTGGCACACGGAGCCATATCTGTGGGCACACAAGCGTTGTCCTAGCTCAATTACAGCATGCATGCGCACACTGGCCAGCTGATTTTCGGGCCTTCTGGGCCCACCGGAAGTTGGGAAACAGTCTCGGGGGGGGAGGCTGTTTTCACCCTCCCCAGGCTCCTAGAAAGCATCTGGAGCCTGGGGAGGGCAAAAAAACCGGGCCTACTGGGCCCACTGCACCATCATGTGTCAAAAGCATGGGGAGCATGGGGGGGGCGGTCACATGTGCATGTGCAGGGGGTGGGGTGCATTGAATTATGGGTGTGGGTACGCACGCATGTGACCCCCCCGCGCTCCTTCCACTTTTGGCACGCGATGGCAAAAAGGTTAGCCATTACTGGTATAGGGTCTCCTGCTTGAGTGCGGGGTTGGACTATAAATTCCCTTCCAACTCTGTTAATCTGTTATCTGTTACATGGCCAGTACATTAAAAAAATTGTACTTGAGCATCACTTAACACCATTGGCACTGACAAATTCACCATCGGTCTATGGCAAAAGATAACTGTACTTGGAACAGCTTACATCCTGCAATGATATCTCTAACACAATCAAACATCAACATCTGCCTATCCCTGGTCCTTGGGGAGGATTCAATAGATGGATAAAAATGCCAAATCCAATCCAAACATCTGGCTGACTGTATGACCAACCATAACATTAAAGTTGGCAAAGGTTTTCAAGCTGTGGAACATGTTAGTAAAAAAATAACAATAAATCCCAGAAACCAAAGCTTTAACGATACAAAATTGACTGCATTTGAATGAGCTACTTTTGTTTTAAACTCTCTCATAATCCAGTGTGAAAAACCCGAATTTATATAATACTCTGATGTTCTTTGCCCACATTTTTCCAACATAGCAAAGCAGCAATAAGGAAGCTGTACCTTTGTTGGATTTTTGTTTGCCCCGCAGCAGTACAAGAGAAATTCTGTCCAAATAAAAAGAGCAACTATCTCTGAAAAAAGGGTTTACTAAATCTGAGCAGAATCTTTTTTAAATTTTGTGCACAAAATTCTCTATAAGTATGAATATTTCACATTTTTTACCTCAGAATAATCACTACTCATTTTTCACAACTGGGATGCAGAGAGCAAAATCAGATACAAGATGCAATCAGATACGATATTGATCACTCACAGTACAACTTAATCTCTACTCATACATATGTATCTTCTAATCTCTAATTTAAGTTTGATTGTAGAAACCATATCTCAGACATGATCACACACAAATGGTGGAGTGTTGGTTTGGGCCAGATGACAAATTTTGGTCTGAGGTTTCTATTTTGAAGGTTTTCCTCTTTCCCAAACACCCCAATTTCCTGATTAATTTATTGATGTCAAAAAGGTTTAACTTTCATTTATCAGCATCAGATTTAATCCTGCACCCATTTTCTTTCCACTCCATGTACTTTACCTTTACCTTTGTGTAGGTTGGTGGAGTTACAGGCTTTAAATTTCTTCTGTTTAATGCTTGCAATGACTGAAGAAATGTTGGTTCATCAGCAAAAATTCAAAGAAACATCCAAGCAGTAAAAGAATGTGAGGCAGGTGGCAACAATTCTCAGTCCTACAAACTTCCCTCAATCTGTCCAACTCTACTTCCTCTCTGATTGTTTCCGCTTCTTCCTTCAGATGCATCACTTCACATTTTTGTCTCCATTCCATTATTTTCAGCCTCTTTTTGTAATGCAACTAACTAGGTTTTGGCAGGAATGTTCATTTCAGTAGCTAGTAAGCCATTTTTCATTAAGGCACGAATGAGAATGAAAGAAGCAGCAACTGTGGACATGTGACAAATAAGGAAGTAGGCTGGTTAAAACTCGTATTTACTGTCCCCACTTCACATTTCCTCAAATTTCTACCTTACCTCGAGTAGGGAAGAATGCAGAGCAAAGCAAAAAAATTAATCATTAACCAATATCTATCAGCAACCCTTGAGATCTGTCTTGGGAGTGTTCCCTAGATGGATATGTCACACAAAGCCCGGTACACCAGTGTTTCAACTTTTACACTGCCTTTCTATGGTCTTTCTGAAATAATGTGCAGTGTTGTTTTGCACTTAAGAACTTTTCACATCTTGTATCTGTAATACCTCAAGATAGCATTATTTCCTTTATTCAAATAGCGAGACGGCTCAAGATGTGCTGTGGCAGATAACCCAAACAATGATAACCAAATCCAATTTGGTTAGAGTTATAATATGGAGACCTAGACTCAAATCCCCACATGCAGTACATATTAAGAAAGTTTCAGTGATCTTGGTTGTTCATTTACATGCTAAACCAAGTTCAACCAAGCACATGATGGCCTTGAGTCAGTGGTGAAATCCAATTTTTTTTTACTAACGGTTCTGTGGGCGTGGCTTGGTGGGTATGGCAGGGGAAGCATACTGCAAAATCTTCCTTCCCATCCCACTCCAGGGGAAGGATACTGCAAAATCCCTATTCCCTCCCCACTCCTGGGGGAAGGATATTGCAAAATCTCTATTCCCACCCGACTCTCGGGCCAGCCAGAGATTGTATTTGCCAGTTCTCCAAACTACTCAAAATTTCTGCTTCCAGTTCTCCAGAACCTGCTGGATTTCACCCCTGCCTTGAGTGCTGTGTGAATCCAGACTTTGGCTTTGTTTGCATACTGCAGTGAGCCATCATTTAATATTGACTAAATTATAGATGGTTGACTATATGCACACCATAAACTATGGTTTATAAACCACAAGGCTGTGTTCATACAATACGCCAAACTAAAACAAAGAAGCCAAAATTTTACTTCATGTGACATGTATAACAGATTGAGATGGAAGGAAGAAAGAGACTTTCTTAGGATTCAGTCTTAATCTGTTTTACACATACTCCCAAAAATGTTCACCAGTCTCCTTCTGCCTGTAAGGGAGACCCAACCTGGAGCTGTTTCAACTGAGCTATTCCTATTTTTCCCCAGTCCTGCTGTAGAGGTAAATAGTCAATCATTGTATGATGATTATACTCTTGTCACTGTCCTCTGTTCTTCTACTTTGCATTTTATGTTCTAATTCTTAAATTAACAAGGTGCTTTAGAACAGGGGTCTCCAACCTTGGCAACTTTAAGACTTGTGGACTTCAACTCCCAGAGTTCCTCAGGCCAGCTTGGCAACTTTAAGACTTGTGGACTTCAACTCCCAGAGTTCCTCAGCCAGCTTGGCAACTTTAAGACTTGTGGACTTCAACTCCCAGAGTTCCTCAGCCAGCAAGCTGGCTGAGGAACTCTGGGAGTTGAAGTCCACAAGTCTTAAAGTTGCCAAGGTTGGAGACCCCTGCTTTAGAAAACACATCTAGGCAGGACTAGTTCCTTCTCTGCATGAAGTATTCCATTCTGAATCTTAGAGGTAGGATTTAAGAAAAATTACCACTTAATTTGACTGTTGTAATGATGGCTTTGCAAGACTGAGCTCCAGCCTTAAAAATTAGTGTTTCAATAATCATTTTCCTCTGCAGGATGGTTACATCATCTTCCTGTTCCAAACAACCACAGGTGCTTCTGCTCTTCTCTCCAACCACAGTCCAGACAGCCATTGCATGGCTACTGGCTTTCCAGATATTGAAACACGCTCATCAAATGAACTAGAGGAGTTGGGGCTGAGACACAAAGGAGGAAGCCAAGGCTCCATGAATCCCATGAGCAAGAAATGTTCTTGGGAATGGCATGTTTGCAGGTGAGGGAGGCAGATGCAGACAGGGACAAAGGCTGAAGCAGGGCAGAGTGTGAGGGAACAATTGGTCCATGAGCTAATAGGGAACTGCACAAGCCATCTCAGCCCCCAGTGCCTAGAGACAAAGCTAGGCAAATCATTCAAAGAGATGCTTTACTTTAAGTGATGTGCCTCTCTAGATACCACAAAACCACAGCTACCAAAGAGGCCTAGATATTTCTACTTTGAGACCATGGGAGGACACAAAGCAGCTGCACTATATATTCAAACAGCTGCTTTGCGACCTTAAGCTGTTCCAGAAGAGTGATTTGCTCTGAAATGAAGGACCTTGCACAGCCTCATAGCAAATAATAGCAAAGACAACTGGATGCAAATATCAGAGTATTATATTTTTATTTCTTGTATACTGTATACTGATAATTTGGATAATGTTCTTGACTACTGTATTAATAGATAGATAGATAGATAGATAGATAGATAGATAGATAGATAGATAGAAAGATAGATGATAAATAGATAGGTAGATAAACAGATACATAAACATATATCTTATAATAGTGATGGCATGGAAACGTCACACGTGTGCACACATGCTCGTCAGGGCTGTGCTCTGGAAAAGCTGAACTTCTGGGTCCTAGCGCACATGCGTGCCCGACGATCAACTGGCTGGTGCACATGCGCAGGCCGGTTTATGGCACTGGCTCATGCACGAAGGGATCACGCTCCAGAAAAGCCGAACTTCTGGGTTCTGGCACGCATGCACCCCCTACAATCAGCTGGCCAGCGTGCATGTACACAGCAGTTTTTGGCACTGCTGCACACGTGAAGGACAGCTGATCATCCCGCACGCATGCACACCAGAAACCCAGAAGACAAACAGGCAAGGTTGCATGTGCCGGGCGACATGGCTTCACATGCCATTTTGGGCACATGTGCCATAGGTTCGCCATCATGGTCTTATAAGTTTATAAGCTACTTAGAGCTTTATAATAAGTATATGGGAGAAATCTGTGGACGTTCCCCTGGTATGAAAATGCTTATCATTATTATTACTTTTACTACTACTATTCAATTGAAAATATATATTCTCTAGGCAAAGAATATTACACTAACAAAATCTTTTGCAACATTTCCCACTCTATGAACAAACCAAGCCATTAAGATAATATATAAAACTTGATAAGGTAGCCTCAACATCTAGGCATCAGGCTTCCTACATCTATTTACAAAGAAAGCTCTTGGAAACTCTATAAAATCAGAAATGAGGGGGCTAGAGGAGCACTAGGTTCCAATATGTTGGGGCCATCAATAGAAGGCCTGCATTCCACCCCATGAACCTCTTCTCATAGGCTGGGAATCTGAGCAGATCCCTCTTGATGACTTGACAAGACAAACAGACTAGGCAGAGCCTAACATAACCCTGTGTTGCTCCTTGCAAGGACTTAGAGGCAATAATTAACACTTTGTAATCATTTGAGAGCCTTTGTACAACTTTGTGTTCAGTGGTGGGTTTCAAAAATTTTTACTATCAGTTCTTGGATGTGGCTTATTGGGCATGGCATGGCTTGGTGGTGTGGCTCGGTGGACGTGGCAGGGGGAGGATACTGTAAAATCTCCATTTCCTCCCCAATCCAGGGGAAGGATACTGCAAAATCCTCATTTCCTCCGAAGAGCGTTCAGAAGCTGCAGCTGGTGCAGAGTGAAGCAGTGCAGATAGATTTGGGCCCCCCAAGAATACCTCCTATAACATCACTGTTTTGCATACAATTCTTCTGGGTACAATTCTTTTTTTTTTTATAGTCAACATTTTTTATTGAATTATATAGTATTATAAAATACAAAATAAATAGAAAAGCAGTGGGGGAGTGTCAGATGTAAATGCCTTATTCCCTAATGTGTAAATAATGTATATATGGGATATCAGGGGTTAACTTATTCTTTGATTCTTAATGTATTCATAATTCACCACTCCCACTCTTGGCTCCACCCTTTGTATATATAAGGAGCCACATTCACCATTTTCTTTGCTTCTATCTGTGAATATTCAGTGAATATAGAATGCCTATTATAATTAAAGAGAAATATATTTAAACTTCTAACTCTCATTATTATTATTGAGTCTGATCCTGAAAATATTGCAACAAACTGGTAGCAGAGGATGGTTAATTGACTCAATAAATACCTAAAAATGTCTAAGAAAGATAGGCCCAACACCAGGGCCTACAGCAAAGAAATAGAAACTGAACAAGAAATAATCAACGAATCCACAAACGCGATTTCGAGAGAATCCGAAGAATACACCACTGAAGAAGAAGAATTAATAAATGAAAATGATGGCCAGGAGGAAATCGAAATAGAAAATAACGAACTCAGGTCAGAGATATTGAAGTTATTAAAAAGCCAGAAGAATGATGAAAGCCTCATCGCGAACCTCCAAGAAATGCTGAAGAACAGCGGAGCAGCGAGAGAGAAAAACATCGCTAAAGAGAAACCCAAAGACCAAAAAACTGTGAGTGATATGACTACAGAGAAAGTCGTTATGAAAAAGAAAAAATGTGATCCCGCGCGAAATTTTGAATGGCAGCCATCTTGGTTTCAACAAGCCTCCAAAGTGAGCGAAGCAGAGCCAATCAAAATGCTCAGTTCAAAATTTCTGGCGCGAAAAACGTTATCAGACAACGAAAGTGAAAAGGAGGATTCAAACTCTTCGGAAGAGCCAGAATCAGAAAATGAAGACGACTTAACGAAATCCCAAGTAAAGTCAGCAATGAAGACGCTTTTTGCTGCATTTGGGCCAAAATTAAAAATTTCCAAAGCGCCAACGAAGAAGCAAGCGAACAAGCCGATACTTCAAGACATGCACGCTCCCATCCTGACTTCGAGAGCGACGACGCCCGAGCCCAGAGAGCCATGTCGATTCCGCCCTACAACGCAAACCGAAGCAAGTGCCAACGCACCCAAAAGAAAGAGAAGAACAGTCGCCGCCATCAGAACTCCTAAGACCGAGCCAGAGACCGACTCGTCTGAAGAGGAACGGAGCGAGCGAGCTACAATGGAGAGAACCTTCCACGACGACGCCAAAGAAGAAATGAACAACGCGCATGTGCGAAACTACGTAGACGGTCCGGAAAGACTTGAACTGGCCAGAGAACCGCGCAGACTCGTTGCGAGCATCCCCATGCCGTTTTGCAATTTCCTACACTTGCGAGACCACGGACTACCTCAGGTTGTAAGTAATGGACAAAATAATGTGGGAAACTTACTCAGTGACTTCCCAAAACTTAGGGTTGATGGCATTGATTTGCAAGAATGGTATCAACAGCTCCAGGTTGTCTTTATGAAAGAAAATTTACTATTTTTTATCACTAGTCCCCCAAGAAGACCTTGGACTTTAAAAATAGATTGTTTACACCATAAGGCATTTTTCTTAATAATATCTAGCGTGTCTCCTGCAATGTATCATAGCATCAAACCAAATCTAACTGTTTCAGAAATAATTCAATGCATGTTTAATTTGTTTCACAGCGATAGTGTAGCTACCACCACAAGAATGTCTAAGGACTTCTTTTCTTCCAGAGTAAAACCAGGGGTTTCCATAAGTGAGCATTTAATATCTTTAAACAAAATAAGAGCTGAACTGCATTTGAGGGGGGAAGTGATTTCAGATCAAACAATGAAAAGTGTTATTATCAACTCACTTGATTCATCATGGGATAGTTTTATGTCACACTTAGACACCATCAATCTAGGATATTTATCAATAGAAAGTCTGTCTAACAAATTGATAGCAGAAGACAATTCAAGAAAAAATCGTTATAGCAATCACACAGAACACAAATCTTTTAGGAAGGTAGCTTTCCAAGAAAAATATAATGAAACTTTTAAATGCCACAATTGTGGGTCCAGGGAACACAATAGAAGAGATTGTCCCAAAATTTCAAAGGAAAGACATAGGTCAGAATATAGGAATAAATACAATTATAGACAGTCTTCCACAGATAGACATAAATATAGAAGCCCACCAAATTACAGAGAAAGTAGAGGGGGCAGAGAAAATTCAAAAGAGAGAAAATCTGGTTCAATGAATGGACTAAATAAACAAGACAGCACTAAAACGCAACAAAATGAGAACAATAATTGGCTTATTGATTCTGGGGCAACTAATCACACCACTAATAACAAAAATATATTGTCTTCATTTACAGAAGATAAGTTTGTAATAAAAGTAGCTAATCAAGAAAAAGTTCAAGTATTAGGCAGAGGGAATGTGACCTTGCCTGGTCTAGGAAAAATAGAGGGGGTATTGTTAATACCAGAAATACCTCATAACATACTAAGTGCCATAAAACTAAGCAGAGATTCTGACATCAATATAGTTTTCTCAAAGGGAAAAGCAACTTTAGAGAAGAATAAAACAAATGTAGGCACTGTGATGATTAAAGGAGGCCTACCCTATCTAATAACAAAAGAAAGATGGTTACATAACATTGATTCAAATATGGAAGATTGTATTGAGGCAGATGATGAAAATATTAGTAACAGTGACAATGATGAATGTAAAATATCTCATGATCACACAGATACACACAATGAGAAGAAACCAAAAATAGGTAAACCAATTCATGACGAGTGTGCTCATATCTTACATAGGAAGTTAGGACATGCAAGTTTTCCTGTAGTACAAAAAATGACTGAACACGCAGAAGGTGTCAAAATAAAAAATTGTGAAAATTATTTGGAATGCTCAGTATGTAAATCTACTAAACTAAAAACTAGTCCTAGGCCAAAAAAATCCACCAGATCAACTAACAAAATTTTTGACTTAGTACACATGGACTTAGTTGGCCCATTAACTCCATCAATCACTTATAGAAAACGTTACTTCCTAACAATAGTAGACGATTACAGTCGCTATGGTTTTGTTTACACATTAAAACACAAGGATGAAACCTTTCAAAAATTTAAGGAATTTTACAAACGCATAGAAACACAACATAATATCAGAATA